ATATGTTTAATATAATCAAAGTAATTAACCATCAGCCATTCCAATCTTTTTTTCTTAATGTTTACTTGATTTTCATTTTCATGGAAAATTGTCTAATGCATATCACCTATGTTGCACCGATACCGACACAGGACACGACATGACACGGTATTCCTACGTGTTAATTCTAAAAAATGGAAGATTTTGACACGTTAGAATACGTTTTGATATTAAATAATATTTTTAATTTATGTAGTGTATATTATATTTAATATTCAATAATTTAACAAAAATGAAGCCAATAGTTGGAAAGAAACATAAGATATTACAAATATTTATATTAAACTCAACAAAATAATAGTCGTAATCCAACGAATTTAATAGTTGGAATTAAAAACGCAACGCAACCTTCGAACTCTTTTTTGAGTCTCTGCCTATGTAGCACCGATACCGGCACGGGACACGTGACACTCTGACACGTTAATTCTAAAAAATGTTAGATTTCGACACGTTAGGACACATTTTGATATTAAATAATATTTTTAAATTATGTAGTGTATATTATATTTAATACTCAATAATTTAACAAAAAAATGAATCTAAACTTATAATATTTATAAATTTTGCAAAGAAACATAACATATTCCAAATATTTATATTAAACTCAATAAAATGATAATCGTAATCCAACGAATCTAATAGTTGAAACTAAAAACTCAAGGCAAATCAACCTTTGAACCTTTTTTTTTGAATTTCTATAACGCGTGTTGGAGTGTCGGGGAGTGTCGGACACGACACGTCAAGATTTTTGAAGTGTCGGTGCTTCATAGGTCTCTGTAATGCGTGTTGGAGTGTTGAAGAGTGTTGTAAAGTGTCAGACACGACACGTCAAATTTTTTGAAGTGTCAGACACGACACGTCAAATTTTTTGAAGTGTCATTGTATCATAGCATATCACCATATATAGTACTTATTTTTAGTATACCCCGTAAATATTACTTTGTATGGCATTAAAAGAGGATTAATATTAATTAGTCAAATACTAAGTTCACAAAGTGTGAAAACTTGCATGCAGGTGTTGATAACTTGGAGATAGACATGGATAAGCAAAAGGTAACAGTTACTGGATATGTGGACAAAAGGAAGGTATTAAGGATTGTGAGAAGAGCAGGAAGAAAGGCTGAGTATTGGCCATTCCCTTGTGACAGTGAATACTACCCATAGAGGTGGCAAAGTGGGCGGTCCGTCCCGCCCCGCCATCAACCCGCCAAAAAATAATCCAGTTCGCTCCGCCCGCTTTTGAAAGTGGGCTGAAAAACTCGGTCTACCCCGTCCCGTTGGGCGGGTTGGCCCGCCTGCCCGAGCTTATTTTACACTGACCCGCCTATGCCCGCCACCAACCCGCTAAAAAATGAGCCCGCCCCGCTCCGTTTTTGAGATGGATTGAAAAACTCAGTCCATCCCGTCCCGTTTGGCGGGTTGGCCCGCCGAGCCAAGCCTGTTTTGGCAGCTCTAACTACCCATATGCTTCCCAATACTGGATGAGTCTACCTTTGCTTCTTCCTATAAATACTACACACATGGTGACAATGAGAGTGTTCCTGGCTATTTTCCTCAACAGGCATAAATATTCTAGTACTGTCCAGGATGAAACAGTCTTTCTCTTCAGTGATGATAACGTTCATGCACCTTGCACTATCATGTGATGTGAATAATTAATTAATTGTGTATGCTGATATGTATACATCCTAGCCATATAAGTTATACATGTTTAAAAGTTCGTGCAGCAAAAGAAAATAAAAATGTATTTGAATAGTTATATTTTCCTAAAAATTATGCTTGTATTGAAAAAATATAATGTCTCCTGTTCCTATTACATGGGTTTAACCTAGTCCTCTGAAATGTTTATGGGAAAAACTACTCTTATGTTGCATAAGAGTAGTTTTATCTAGGGTTGTGCATGGGTCAGGTCGGGTCAGGTTTTTGTCCGACTCGACCCAACTTGATTTTTATAGGTCAGGTATTTTGACCCGACCCGCTTTAATTTGATCCAAGTCCGGTTTGACTTAGATTGGATTTTGTTGAACTAGTTCAGAACCAGTTTGGATCTGACCTGACTTGGTTTCTGAAGTGGGTCTGACTTGGTTTCTGAACTGGGTCAAATCTGACCTGACCCGTTTTTGACTTGGTTTTCTCACAAAATTTTGTCGAAATTTTTACAAAAATATTTTTCTATTGAAATTTAGTTTCCGTCAACAGTTTTGACGAAAATGATTTTTTCCATCAAATGCTTTAAACGAAAAAAGAATTTTGTCAAAAAATTTGACGGAATGTTTTTCGTTCAAAATTTCGATGGGAATGTGTTCTGACGAAAATTATTTCGCGGGAAATGTTTCATTTGAAACTTTCGACGAAATTTAGATTCTCTAAAGAATTTTGACAGAATATTTTTTTCGTCAAAATGTTTTTTTTGTCAAAAAAATTTACGGAATTTTTCTATAGAAATGTGTTTCGTTGAAAATTTTGATGGAAATTTTTTATCAAAAAATTTGACGAAAATATTTAGTTGAAAATTTTCGATGGAAATATGTTTCGCTAAAAATTTTGACGAAAATTTTTTTTTGTCAAAAAATTTAACGAAAATTTTTTCGTCGAAAACTTTGCCGAAATTTGAAATCTGTAAATAATTTTGATGAATTTTTTGACGTCGAAATTTTTTGCCGTCAAAAGTTTTTGATGACGAAAATGTTTTCGTCGAAAACTTTCGCCAAAATTTGAAATCTGTAAAGAATTTTGATGAAATTTTTTGATGACGAAACTATTTCCGTCGAAAACTTTCGCCAAAATTTGAAATCTGTAAAGAATTTTGATGAAATTTTTTGCCGTCGATATTTTTTGCCGTCCAAATTTTTTGATGACGAAAATATTTCCGTCGAAAACTTTCGCGAAAATTTGAAATCTGTAAAGAATTTTAATGAAATTTTTTGCCGTCGAAATTTTTTGATGGAAATGTGTTTCGTCGAAATTTTCAATGGAAATGGTTTTGAGGAAAATGTTTCATTTGAAACTTTCGACGAAATTTAGATTCTCTAAAGAATTTAGACAAATATTTTTTCTGTCAAAATTTCTTATCGAAATATTTTTGTCAAAAAAGTTTACGAATTTTTTTACAGAAATGTGTTCCGTTGAAAATTTTGATGGATATATTCTTTATCAAAAAACTTGACGAAAATATTTAGTCGAAAATTTTTGATAGAAATGTGTTTCGCTAAAAATTTCGACGAAATTTTTTTTTGTCAAAAAGTTTAACGAAAATGTTTCCGTCGAAAACTTTCGCTGAAATTTGAAATCTGTAAAGAATTTTGATGAAATTTTTTTCTGTTAAAGAATTTCGATGAAAATGTGTTTCGTCGAAAGTTTTTATGAATATATTTTTTTGTGAAATATTTTGACGAAATTTAGATTCCGTAAAAAAATTTGACAAAAAAAATATTCCGTCAAATTTTTTTACCGATATGTTTTTAGTCACAAATTTTGATGAGAATATTTTTCGTCAAAAATTTTTGCGAAAATTTTTATGAAAATATTTTCCATAAAAAATTTTGACGTAATTGTTTTACGTTAAAACTTTTCTTTTAATGTAATTGTGATTTTTTTTTTCACATAATGGGTATGGGTCAAGTTTTGGGTTAGTGGGTCAATATTAAAACGAGTCAGGTCTAAAACTGACCCAAATAAAAGTGGGTCAGTATTTAAACCAGTTCAAAAAATATGGGTATTTATGGGTAGGGTCAAGGTCGGATCAAGGGCAGGGCAAGTGAACCAGTTTTTTTGCACACCCCTAGTTTTATCTCCTACACACTTATCTAAAATCGTGACATTCATTTTTCTTTTTTTTCTTTTTTCTTTAAATATTGGGTCCCACCACATATGTGTCACAACATGAGAGAAGATCTCTCCTTCAACATAAGATTAAATGAACCCAATGTTTATAGCATGAAAATCATGTTATCTTTTTTAATCTTTAGCCGAGTATGTTCATAAACATTATTGTAAAACTATTTTTTTATTTTAGATTCCTTAAAGTATCCTTCGACCAATAGCCGAATACTAGTTCTTTTGAGGGGTAAAAATTATCGAAGTGAGTATTGTCTATACCAACAAAGCCTTTTTCATACACACAGCTAGAAATCGAATCCCTATTAACATGCTTAAGGGACCTAGCCATCTACCAACTATGCCAAGCTTTATTGATGTGAAAGTATTCTTTTAGAGTGTTCATGATAATGATTGTTTTTTTTTATATTTTTATTAGAAAAAATATTTTTTATTTTACTTTTGTGCGAGTTTTTAAGGAAAAAAAATTGTTTGATGACACAACTTGCTTTCACACACCCAAAAGAGAGTATTTAATAAATTTATTTTTAGTAAATTGTGTGTATTTAATGTTATTAACACATTATTTGATGTCCATATTTAATAAATATATGTCAGAGAAGAAAATAAAATAAAAAAATATTGTTTCGTATTTCTATCGATTTTTGTTTGGGCAACCAGTTCATTCTTTGGAACAAAAAACATAAACTAATTTTATCAAACGCCATTTCTAACCATATGTGTTTTCTAAACTAATATTAAACAAAATTATTTTGGACCCAAATGGGTCACATAGGCTCTTTCAATTACGAGTTTTATCCATTGAAGGTAAACTTTCTTTATCCATTAAGCTCTTGTTAGATAATTGTATAGACACCAGCGTTATTTGAAAATAAAAATATTTAATATTTTCTTTTTCAATTAATTAGAATGAATACTAAAGCCTCACATTAACAAAACTTTTTTTTTTCCAAGAAAAGCTCCCTTTCACAGATCGCATTTGTAGATTCAATTCACGCCCCAATCTATTCTCAAAGAGAGAAATATGTGCTTCAAAAGATATTTTATATTGTATATATCCCAATAAGAAGGCTTCAATTTTTTCAATTTTTCATTTTGCAAATTCAAGAAAAATAAAAAGGGAGGAAGGTGGATACACATCATGTTTGACCATTCAACAAGTCAAAAACTGTTTACATAGGAGCTAAAACAAATAATTCATTGCCCTGCATACTTGCAAATGTAGCACTTAATTTATCTATTTATAAGCAAATGAAAAGAAAAAATAATGCTACATGAACTCAAGAAAGGTCTTTTAATTTACATAGGCCACAAGGAAGTGGTTCAAAATATTTTATCAACCAGTGCTACCAGATAAGTCACCAGAAAATGCACTTCCATATGAAACAGAACCTGTTTGTGAAGTGCTGCTAGCTCGAGCTTTCTGGTACTGTCTTATTCGGAAAGCATCATGAGGAAGTGGTTGGCTTTGGACAGTTGTAGTATCATCATCCTCTTGCCCTAAAATATTATATGAAACAAATATCAATCAAGGGAAAATTTAATTTTGCTATTAAAACATAAAGAATAAAGCAAAACATTCATGCATGCGTACTTGATGACAAATGCAATTTATAACCAACCATTATTGAGGTAAATCCATTTGCTGTTGTTATAAGTTTACTAGTGTTGAGCTATTAACAGGCATAAAATTAGGCACAAAAGAAAACAATAACGCAAATATGAGCACCTATTCATGTAGAAATTATACAGGCACGTTGATTTTAGAAAACTGCTAAAAAGGGCAAAGTGGGCAAATTTAAGCGCACAAGGCTCCCCAACTTTGCGAGAGTAGAGGTGAGGGTCGATGGTATACGCTCTTACCCTTATATTTTTGCAAAGAGACTGTTTTCCAGACTCAAACCCATGATCATTTGGTCACAGAAATTTTAGACAACTGCTACACATACTAAATTAATAACCACGTTGTAAACAATAGCAGTTTAGCACAAACTAAAATAACAGCTCAGCATTGACAGAGAATCAGTAGTAACAATAATGCCAACTAACAAGTATAAAAAAGTGCTGCATCTAATGAATTCTGAAGCTGCTATAGCAACTTAGTCATAACAGTCATGACAAACAATGGACATCAAGCTAAACATTTGACCATCTAAAATCCCTTTTCGATACAGACAGAAAATGATCCAGAATATCCATGTCTCGGCTCAAATAGATAAATTGTGCTCAAGTAGAATTGCACACAAATAAAAAATAAAGAGCAAAAGAAAAAATAAGCATCAAGTTTAGTAAAACTGGATGATCACATACTGACTAATTCTTTTCTTTTGCCATATTGTCTCTTACTGGTTGGTTTCATAGATAAGCCACTTGGAACAGGGTGAGACTTGCTTGAACCAGAAAGTTCACTTGTAGCAGGACCTGCTGGCAATTGTGTTGGAATCCCTGTTTTCCCACTTTGTCCAGTTAAAAGGTCACTCTGCAAACAAATTGATAGAACGATATCCACATTTGGCGTTGGACCTGGAAATTTCAGAACAGAGTTATCAACAGCATTTTGGATATAAATAATCAGCAAGGAACAGTATTGTTCCTGGCAAATCAAGAAAAATAGTAAGTCATATGTAATTCTTTTTGATAACCTTGCACTTTGCATTCAACATTCTCTAATCCATCAATACTAAATATATAACTTTATTTGAAAATCCACACGTCTGCCAAACTCAGAGAATGTATACAAGACTAATCCAAACTTATTCCTCCAATTAAATTCTACATGTAAATTATACTTGAGGCAGGAAAAATTCGTTGGTGACTTGCAGTAGATAGCACTAAGCATTGATGTATTAAGAAAACAAAAAGCTCCATGGTTGCAGAAATTACAAAAATATGATGCACTATTTACACTTGGCAATAACAATATCTTTTGGGAAGTAGACATTGAGGAAAAAGAAAGAACAAAGAAACAGAAGAACCGACCAAGGTATAAATAAGAAAAAAGACAATTAACATAAACTACCTGCTCATATCGGCAAGTAATTAGGAGAAACTCATACCAATTGGCCTTTCAATATATATTTACAAATTGCATTTAAATTGCAGAAAAAATATACTGTTTAGTGGATAAGAACTGATAGTTAATAGAAATTAGAGTAAATACTCTTTGTGGTCCTCAACAAATTTCACTATGCCCGTTTTAGTCCCTAGCAAATAAAAAGGCCCATTGTGGTCCCTAAGAAATTCAAAATGGACCCATTTAGCTGAAATCGTGGTCCCTCACAAATTCAAAAAAGACCCATATTAGTCCCTAAAAGGATTAAAGTGGGTCCATTTTGAATTTCTTAGGGACCACGATGGGCCTTTTTATTTGCTAGGGACTAAAGCGGGCATCGTGAAATTTGCTGAGGACCAAAAAGGGTATTTACTCTAGAAATTTCAAAAATTACCTTCAACTGCAGGTAGGTTTGCTAAAAATGCTACCAAAGCAGGTGGTGTAGCTTTCAGAATTTCATCAAATGCATTTGTTCCAGCACCTGCCACAGGCAATTGGATTAGACAAGGTCCCCATTCAAGGTGTAGTTGCACGTTGGAAAATTAACAAGCTAGTACCACTTTCATATTGTTCAGTGAGGAAATGAAATAACAATTTATATTAAAAAAATTATTAAAATAACAACTCATTCCCTAAACCTTCTGATTCAAAACTATCCTTGCAATATTTTGACACAAAAGAATGTTCTCTTATGCTTTTTTGTCATGCATTCTTTTGGTGCTAAACGCCAATAATCACATAAGCAATATAAACAAAAATAGTAAAATGCTAGGAGCTTGGATATGATAACTATCATGTAATTTAGGTCACACTTGGCTTCCAATTTGAATTTCTTCTGATAAAAATTCAATTCAAACCTTTGTGGAGAATTTAAAAAGAGGATTTATTTAGAAGGGAAAGTTTATAATACTTGTCTCAATTAGGTGTTGGTTTTTGTGTTCAACAACCCATTTTGCTTAGGGATAGGAGCACAAGACGTTTTAGTATAGAATGTCATGAGTGGCCATAAATGTTTTAAATTGTTAAGACAAGTATTCATACGCATTATCACTACGCAAAGAATAGATTCACTCTGTTTCTTTCTATCTCTCACCCATTCTTCAATTCTTGTTTGTGAGTTCGAAACAAACACTTGAAAGTAGGAATGTGTATATCATTCAATTGTGTAATAACCTAATACAAAGAGTTACAATATATAGAGACCCTAATGGGCTTAAGTGAGACGCCCAGAATATTAACAGATAGGAAGTAATCTATTCAAATCTAATCATATCTAATATTTCCTATTCTAATATTTCTAACACTCCCCCTTAAGCTGGTGCGTATATATCATAAGCTCCCAGCTTGTTACATATATGATCTATTCGGGGACCTCTAAGAGCCTTGGTAAAAACATCTGCAAGTTGATCACTGGAATTAACAAATGCTGTCTCGATCTCTCCTGAATGAATCTTCTCTCTAACAAAGTGACAATCAATTTCTATATGTTTGGTCCTCTCATGAAAGACTGGGTTAAAGGATATATGCAATGCTGCTTGATTGTCACAGATGAGCTTCATGGGCTGCTGTTCACAGAGATGTAGCTCCTTAAGCAATTGTTTTAGCCAGATGAGCTCACAGGTTGCATTTCCCATTGCCCGATATTCTGCCTCTGCACTTGACCTTGCGACAACAGTTTGTTTCTTACTCTTCCAAGAGATCAAGTTTCCTCCAAGGAGAACACAATACCCCGAGGTGGATCGTCTGTCTGAAGGAGAACCTGCCCAGTCAGCATCTAAATAGCTAGATACCTTAGCATTCCCTTTATTTGTGTATAATAAACCTCTTCCTGGTGCTCTTTTGATATATCGAAGAATCCTGATAACTGCATCCCAATGGGAGTCACAAGGAGTTGACTTGCCACACTAACTGCAAAAGAGATGTCTGGTCTTGTCACAGTAAGATAGTTCAACTTTCCAACTAATCGGCGATAACGACCAGGGTCTGCCAATGGCTCCCCCTGTCCGGGTAACAGCTTAACATTAGGATCCATAGGTGTATCAATAGGTTTACATCCCAACATACCAGTCTCATCTAGGATATCTAGTGCATACTTCCTCTGACAAATGGAAATGCCCTGCCTAGACTGTGCCACTTCGATCCCTAAGAAATATCGAAGTCTGCCAAGATCTTTGGTCTGAAACTGATTGAATAAGTATTTCTTTAACTGACCAATCCCAACTTGATCGCTGCCAGTAATAATGATGTCATCAACATAGACTAGAAGAAAGATGCACTGACCAGAAGAGCTATGCCTATAGAAGACAGAATGATCGGCTTTACTTCTGGCTAAGCCAAAGGTTGGGACAGCAGAACTAAAGCGACTAAACCAAGCCCGAAGAGACTGCTTCAGGCCATATAAAGATTTATGAAGCTTACATACGATTCCAGAATTCTCCCCCTGAGCAACAAAACCTGGTGGTTGCTCCATATATACTTCCTCTTGCAAGTCACCATATAAGAAAGCATTTTTGATATCAAGTTGTAGAAGGGGCCATTGATGAATGGCAGCAAGTGCAAGAAATAGGCGAACAGATGCCATCTTGGCAACAGGAGAAAAAGTATCCCCATAGTCAAGACCAAATATCTGAGTGTAACCTTTGGCCACCAAACGAGCTTTGAGGCGATCAACAGTGCTATCAGGACCAACTTTGACAGTGAATAACCATCGACAGCCGACTACTGACTTTCCGGGAAGAGCATGAACAAGATCTCAGGTGCCATTGGAGTGAATTGCTTGCATTTCATCAATCATCGCCTGATGCCAACTCGGATGAGATAGTGCTTCACCTGTGGTTTTAGGAATAGAAACAGACGAAATACTAGAAACAAAAGTAAAATGTGGTGAAGAAAGTCTATCATAACTCAAGAAAATATAAAGTGGATGAGGGTTGCGAGTGGATCGAATACCTTTGCGAAAGGCAATGGGAGTAATCTCTGATGGAGGATCCGGAGGGGAAGAGTCGACTGGAGCAGGCGGTGAGTCAGTAAGAGTCAAATCTGCTGGAGGCGCAGGCTGACGACGCTGATAGGTGAGAAAAGGACGTTCCTCAGGGATGGAGACAAGGGGTAGCTCCTCCGGCATAGAGTCACCTGCAACTGGTAAAGACAAATCAAGACAAGGAACAGGAAGAACATGATCAACTTGTGTTATCTGAGACGGGATAGAATGAAAATGTTGTTGATCAAGGAAAGTGATATCAGCCGAAACAATATAACGCTTGAGATCATGAGAGTAGCAACAATAACCCTTTTGAAAACGAGTGTATCCAACGAAAACACACTTGAAAGCTTTGGATGTTAACTTATCTTTACCTGGAGTAAGATCATGAAGAAAGCACGTACATCCAAAGACATGTGGAGGTAGAGGATAGGAAGGTGCTCCTGGAAATAAAACACTGTGGAACTTCATTATTAAGTACGGAAGAGGGCATGCGATTGATGAGAAAGCAAGAGGTGATTATAGCATCTGCCCAAAAACGAAGTGGAACATTCATGTGAATTAGTAGGGTACGTGCAGTTTCAACCAGATGTCTATTTTTACGTTCGGCCACTCCATTTTGTTGTGGAGTGTCTGGGCAAGTGGTCTGGTGTATCGTTCCACGTTTCTCCAAAAAATTAGAAAATTCAAAAGACACATTCTCTTGCATTATCACTGCGCAAGATTTGAATAGAAGTACCAAATTGAGTAGTTATTTCAGCACAAATTTTTTGATAAATTGAAAATAATTCAAAACGATTTTTCATTAAATAAACCCAAGTACAACGAGAGAAATCATCAATAAAGGTGACAAAATACTGAAAACCCAAAACAGACATTGTTCGACTCGGACCCCAAATGTCAGATTGAACAATAGAAAAGGGAGCATCAACTCTTTTATTGACTCTATTAGCAAAGGAGGAGCAAGTGTGCTTTCCTTGCTGACAAGACTGACAATTTAAAGACTTAAGACTAGATAAAAAAGGAACCATATGCTGATGCTTGGAGAGGCTTGGATGACCCAGACGACCGTGAATTAGCTCAGGAGACTCTGTGAGAGAACATGCTACTGGAGAAGGTGGTGCAATCAGATAGTAAAGACCTCGTGACTCAATGCCCGCTCCAATCGTCTTCCCCGTACCCGGATCCTGCATAGAGAAGGATTGTTTAGAGAAGGTAACAGTACATGAAAGAGACTAAATCAACTGGCTAACAGAGATTAAATTAAAAGGAATGCCGAGTATTTAAAAAACAGAGGTCAAGGCTAAAAAGGGAGTTGGGTTGGCTTCCCCAATTCCACGAGCAGGAGCCTTAGTGCCATCAGTAAGAGTAATAGAAGGTAAATTATTAGAATAAGAAAGTGAAGTGAAAAGATCTTTATTACCACAAAGGTGATGAGTAGCACCTGAGTCTATTATCCAGGGTCCAAGAGATGATTGAGAAAGGCAAGCTACATGATTACCAGTGTCTTGAGTAGGATGCTGAGAGGAAACCTTCTTGAGAAGTGCCTCATATTCGGCACTGGAAAGAGTTACTGATCCAGTAGAAGGTGGTGTAACATCAGTCTGAGCAAAGTTGGCAGTCGGTGGTTTCAAGTGAGGGTACTTCCTGTAGCAGCGTTCTTCAAAATGTCCAAGATTCTGGCAATAATTGCAACGAGGCCTCTGTCCGCGGCCACCATGTCCACGGCCACGTCCGCGACCGCGTCCACTGTTCCAAGAATCATTGGAGCGAGAAAAGAATGCAGTGGAATCGGTAGCTAGCACATGTGTGGGAGCTGTTGATTTATCCTTAAGATTCAAAAGGCGCTGGAAAGTGTGTGACAGGCTAGGAGTCTCAGCACTGGTTAGAATATTCTCACGAACACTTTCTAACTCCTCGGAAAGACCAGAGAGGGTTACTACCATAAAGAAGCGCTCCACCTGCTTTTTGTACGCAGTGGCATCTGCAGCATGAGGTAACATAGCTATGAATTCTTGCATCAAAGAACGAATCTTACCAATATAAGTTTCCATTCGAGACTCCGGAGATTTGCGCAATTCCATTATCCGAGACATAATTGAATAAAGCTGCTGAATGTCATTGGTGTAAAGGTTATTAGCTTCCTCCCATACGTCATTGCAGGTCTCAAAGGAGATGGAAATGTCTATAAGTGTCGGATCAATGAACTGCCAAAGAATACTTAGGAGTTGAGCATCAACCTTTTCCCAGTCAGATGCCTGATCCTTGGGAGACTTAGTTGTGAGATGTTGACCGTATCCCTGACCAGTAAACCAGATCTTAACAGAGGTAGACCAGGTCTTGTAAGTAGCAGCTCCGGTCAGTTTGATCGTTGTAATGGAGGGGGTAGTACTGGTAATGTTTTTGGACGTACTACCTAAGCCTTCCATCTCAAAAATATAAAAAGAATGACTAGATAAAAGCAAAGAACTGCAAACTCACAAGAAATCACACAAAAAATAAATAATAAGAATGACCAAACGTACGAAACAGTGCTGGAAAGTGTCCAAACGTACGAAACAGTGCCGGAAGCTATGAAAATGAATGCTTTTGTCTGATATCTTCTTAACGGACGAGACCCATGACAAACGGACAACAGATCTGGAAAGGTGAGAGAAGGGCGAGTCTTTCTGTGCTGGTTTCACCGGAAAAGGCCACAGGAACAGTGCTTACGCGCCGGTGAGAGGCGGCGCGTGAGCACCACGCGCAGTAAGGGTTGCCGGCGCGTGAGAGCGCGTGAGATGGTCGCCGGTGATGGGCCTTCCACAGACACGGTCGTCGGAGGGAGGAGAGCCTGATCGTAGGTGTTTCGGTTGAAATCGTCGCCGGAAAATTTTTCCGGTGACCGTGAACAGTAGCGAACGGCGGTTCTGACATCAAACGGAGACCTATCGTAGGTGGAGGAGGCTGGGTTCATATTTTTCAAGGTTAAGGATAAATTTTTGGTGACTAATTAAGAGTTAGGGCTAAAAAAGGGTTGCCGGTATGATGCACGGCGAGAGAAGGGTTTTATGTGGAAGCTAGGTTTCCCAGAACACAAGCTCTGGTACCAACTTGAAAGTAGGAATGTGTATATCATTCAATTGTGTAATAACCTAATACAAAGAGTTACAATATATACCCTAATGGGCTTAAGTGAGACGCCCAGAATATTAACAGATAGGAAGTAATCTATTCAAATCTAATCAAATCTAATCATATCTAATCATATCTAATATTTCCTATTCTAATATTTCTAACACACACAATAAAAGTTTATCACCAAAAGGTATTCAAATTTCAAACAAGGGTTACTTACCAGGATTTTGCTTTGGATCATATATCACCATCTTTGAAGTATCAGGATAAACAACCTTTGTTGACATAGTTGAAATGCTTGCCATGGATTCCTTATCTGCACTATTAGTGTAACATTCACCACATAATAAGAAATATTAACAAACCAAATGTTAGACTGAATATAATATCAGTACCTAAAAGAGTAGTTCTATTAAGCAGAGCAGACTTCTCCACTTTCTTATTGATGTTCTTGGCAAGCCACTGAAGAGGTAGAAATGAACATTAAATTATTATATAGGACACAAATATAACCACAGAAGAATTCAAGAGAGCCAGAGGATAATTATGGGAAATCTAAATATAGTCACTGCATACAGGCACTTTCAATAAATTATAGATTGTCAGAAAATAGATTGCTTTACACATAAAAGATGTTAGTAAGAATTTGCATGACAGCATCGAAAAATAAGTGAGTTAATAAACTAGTAAAGGGTTAATGGTTTAATGACACACCAAGATGGTCATATGAATTATTAACAAAGGGGTATGCGGCCAACAAGGGTTCGTTCAATTTGAAAGGATCAAAGCACTTCAGTTGAAAAGACTAGGTTCTGATTCCCACCAGCAATCCCCCTTGGTAGGCAACTGCAAGTACCACATGGTCTAGCATAGGAGAGCCCGACAATATATATGATGGAAAAGGGAAAATACTTAAATATTTGTAAATAGTTACTCAGCTGGCACTAGTGTACTACTATTAACGACATTCCAAGTAAGATGTTAGGTACGTAATTTGTCGAGTATGTTTTGACTCCTCCATCTTTCTGTTGAATTTCCTTGTATTTTCCTTTCCTTTCTTTCATTTTCTTGACCAAGCACTATCATTAAACCTCTTAACAGAAATTAAAGTATATATCTTTTTTTTTATGAAGATAAAAAAGTTTTATGAAGTTTATATCATTTCTAAAATGAAGGGCAAGTGTATTTCCAAAAAAAATAAAAAATGGAGGGCAAGCCTTGGAGCACCTATAAGGTTGCTCCTACTCCTAGGGGTGTCTAAATAGGTTATGACACGCAAGTCGACCTACAACACAACACAAAAATCAGTGTTCGGATTGACCTGCAAAATAATTTATGTCGTGTCGCGGGTCGTGTCGTGTCAACACGAATTCGACCAATTTTTTTTTTTTTTTTTTCGACCTTTTTTTTAACTTTTTTTGGTCAATTTGTATGTCATTCGTGTTGTGTGTGTGTCAACCCGCAAAAAAATTGTGTCGTGTTCGTGTTGAATATTCTGAAACGAATAAAAATTCGTGTCATGTTCGTGTTGCGTGTATTCGTGTTGTGTCGATCCGTTTTGACACCTCTAGTTACTGGGATTTGTCGTGTGTGTGTGCGCACGCGTGCGTGCTGCCACGTAACAGTAGAAGGCAAGTTGTCGTAACAGCACTGAGAGCCAGGTGCAAGCCACACCAAATGAGGGGTTTGTTTCCCCGGTTTTTTCTTTCAAGTAGGACTCGATCAACTAGTTCCCTGTAAGCCATTCAGTTTACAAGAGACACGACTGGCCATTAATTGGGATTGGGGAGAACTAAATTGGCCAACAGGTCAGACCAGTCCAGTCCAGGTTTTAGAACACTGACTACATTAGGATGGGCTTCCAATCTAGTGAAAGATGCATAAGATGAGAACCAATCAGAAACTAGTATTTTATAGAGAATACTTAAGATAAGAACCCTATGAAACTAGTATCCACTGTCATTCTTCTAAATAAAAGTTGAATTTTAACCCAAGATGTGATGAGCCTTTGTATTGTCCAAACTTTAAGCACAAGGGCCCTTGTTTGATGTGTAGATTAAAAAATAATAATAATAATAATAAAAAAAAAACCATTCAAGAGAATTCATCTAACTACTTTATTTGTTGGGAGAATCATTCTAATACAACTCCACCAAAGTTCTTGGCTTACCGTAGGAAGCGTTTCAGAGGATTACATTCTATACGCAAGGTAAATGAGGCTGTTAGTGCTGAGGCTGTGAATGCTGACCTGTCCAATGGTGAGGCTGTGAACACTGACCTGTCCAATGCTGAGTCACCACCAAGTGAGGAGAAGGAAATGGATGCTAAATCACAGCCAGGGGAGGAAAGTGGTACCCAAAAACGGTTGGAAGAAAGAGAATAAGAAGAGAAGAACGAAGGGAAGAAGGCATCTTTGGACAAATGGAAATTCTGGACTCTTGGGAGACATCAGGGGCTCTCCAACTCCTCTGAAATTATCTTTTGTTTTCCTTTATTACTGTAATTGGTGATTGTTAAATTGTCTCCAAGAGTAGTGTCTCTGGAGCTAGTTTAAATTTCGAGTATATTGTTTGTAATTGAATCTGCGTTTATACATTTCTCAGTACAGAAAATTGAAATATAGATTTACAATTACTGTTTACACACTCTTCTTGATTTTAAACATTACAAGTGTTACAATTGGTATCAAAGCTCTTTTCTGGGAGCGCTGAATGGTTCTTACGAGGACTATGGATAACCGTGTAGAAGCAATGGAGGCCATAATAGGAAGAACGGAGGAAGGAGTTCAGAGAGTCGAAGCCGGGCTAGCGGAGGTACTCAGATCTCTTCAAGAACTCAGAGATGAATGTCGTTCATCAAGTCGGGCAAGCAGAGGACGAGACAGACGAGAAAGGAGAGAATCTCCAGAATTCACCGATGAAGAAGATTATGGAGGGCGTAGAAGAGAGAATGTTGGGAGGAAGTTGGAACTCCCCACATTTGCTGGGGATAATGTGTATGACTGGTTGAATCGAGTTAATAGGTACTTTGAGGTGAATCGATTGAATGATAGAGAGAAATTAAGGGCGGTGATGGTGGTCCTTGAAGGGGAAGCACTCCACTGGTATCAATGGTGGGAGAGAAACACTGTGCATGCTACTAGGGGGTCTTTTCATACCGAGGTGCTGAGCAGGTTCCAACCCGATTTGGAGGGGAATCCCTTGCACGAGTTGCTGAGCCTGCGTCAATCAGGGACGGTTCAAGAGTACCGAAGAGATTTCGAGAGGATTAGTGGGACCCTGGAGCATGTGGACGACGAAGTCCTCCGTGGAATCTGGTTGAGCGGATTGTCGAACTGCATACGTGAGGAGCTGCTGATGCAACCGTTGGATTTGTTGCCGGTGCTGATGAGGAAGGCACAAAGGATTGAGAGAAGAAATTGGGCATGGGCTGCTGAGGGAGTAGGTGGAAGTGGGCCAGCCAAGTTGGGAGGGTTTTCGAAACGGGCCCAAACTCACGTGACTCGTTCAACCAATTTTCGGGCAAATACCGGGTTGATGGGCTAGCAAAACATGGGCCCAAATAACACCAAAACCGGATTTACTCACAATAGCTCCACTTAACACACTTCGACGCAAGAAGGTTCGAGAATGGAGACAGCTCATAACCCTAGCCATGTTACGCCAGCCACGCATCAGCCACCTGAGAGTCAAGGTAGCACCAACACACGAAACGGCAATCGCCGTTTACCACAGGCAGACCTGCAAGAGAGGTCACGCAAGGGGTTATGCTTTCATTGCGACGAGAGATGGAATCCTACACACCGGTGTGCAGCCAAGCAACTGAGCCTCCTGGTGATAGACGACGAAGGAGAAGAAGAAGAAAGGCTAGGAATCGAAACTGTTGGAGGGGCCGCGGTCCAAGACGAGGAGACATTGCAACTGTCATCGCATAGTTTGATGGGGTTGACGACGAGCAAAACGATGCGTCTGTGGGGAGAAATAAAGGGAAAGCGTGTCATAGTCCTGATTGGCAGTGGCGCGTCCCATAATTTCCTCAAGGCAGATCTGGTTAAAGAGTTTCAGCTTGAGGCTGAGGCTACACCAACGTACAGAGTCAAGATTGGAAGTGGAGAGAGATTAAAGTGCAGTGGGGTTTGCCGAGGGGTGAAGATAGAGATACAAGGGTGCGTGATTATACAGGATCTGTTCATCTTCAATTTGGGTGGGCCAGATGTAGTTTTGGGAGTGGATTGGCTGAAAGACCTTGGTAACGTGAAGGCCAACTTTCGGGAACTCATTTTCTGCTTTAAGCATGAAGGGAGGGAGGTGAAATTCAAGGCTGAACCTGAGTTGTCCAGGAGCATAGCCTCCTTCAAATCTACGGTGAAGGCCATTAAAGGAGAAGGAGAAGGGTATTTTTTGCAACCAAAGATTTAGAGTAGCCACAAGAATGAGGGGGAAGTGGAATGGCAGAGTTGCATGTGCTGCTGGAGGAGTACGTTGATGTCTTCGCTACTCCAACAGGATTACCCCCAAAAAGAAGTCGTGATCATGCTATTGTGCTTAAACCTGGCAGTGAGGTCCCTAATATCAGGCCATACAGGTACCCTTTCTATCAGAAAGAGGAAATAAAGAAGAGTATTCTTGAATTGTTGAATTCTGGTTTTATTAAGCCGAGTGTTAGCCCCTACTCAAGTCCTGTGATTCTGGTCAAGAAGAAAGACAATAGCTTGGAGGGTCTATGTTGATAATCGGAAGCTAAATAAAATGATAGTGCCGGATAAGTTTCCAATGCCAATTATAGACGAGCTGATTGATGAGATTGGAGAATCTTCCATCTTTTCAAAGCTAGACTTAAAATCCGAATTCCACCAAATCCGTATGAAGAAGGAGGACATAGAGAAGACTGCTTTTAGGACCCACGAAGGGAATTACGAGTATTTAGTAATGCCCTTTGGGTTGACAAACGCACCCTCAACCTTTCAAGCCTTAATGAACGAAGTCCTACTACCATGGTTGTTAGTATCGCACGATACGCGATACGTATCGTGCGATACGATACGATACAGTGGCAAATCGATACGGATCGCAATAGCAAATCGTTTTTGGCATGAATCGTGATTTGGAATCGTGGAATCGAACGATTCGGTTGTGAATCGTGAATCGAAATTTTTTTGCGATTCAAAATATAAAATATTGAAAAGAAGTTTTTGTATATTGATATTGAATAAATTACATGAGTGAGTATTTATACAAGAAAGAATCGCTAAGAATGACTAAGCGATGACTAATCAATCCTATCACAATCCTAATCACAATCAATTCTAATCAATCATAATCAATCCTAATCAATCATAATCAATCCTAATTAATAGGAAATAAAAACGGAAACATGTTTGAATTCTAATTTTCTACACTCCCCCTCAAGTTGGGAGGTAAATATTGATCATTCCCAACTTGCCAATCAAGTCTTCGAATGCT